AAGGAGGAGTTGTCCCCCTCCAATCCTACAGGCCAAATCACCCGAATCAATCCCTACCGTTCATCCGCATCCGCATCGCCTAATCCCTAATCCGCACCGTTCACCGGCGATTTCACCCTTCCCACAGCGACCGTGATTTCACCCTATCCATCCATCATGATTTTAGCTCGCGCGAAGACTCCGCCTCCGCGCTCCTCGCTCCTCCTTGCTTGTCCCCGTTGCTGCCGCATTCCTCCACTACTCCTGTCGAAGCCTAGGTCGTCCCCAGCCGTGTTGCCGCCGCCGCACTCCATCGCTGCCCCGCCGGAACCGAGGTCTCCCCCGGCTGTCGCCGCTGTTGCCGCACTCCACAGCTACCCCCACCGAAGACCGAGCCGTGGTCGCCCCCGGCCGTAGCCACCGCCACCCGCCACCGCACTCCACCGCTGCCCCCTGACGTAGCCGAGGTTGTCCCCAGCCGCCACTGCCCTCCATCGCTGTCCCCGCCGGAGCCGAGGTCGTCCCTAGCCGCCACTACCGCCGCGAGCGTATGAGATTGAGGGAGGCGGCGCCGGTGATCGGGCACGGGCGGCATGCGTTACGAAAGGCGGTGGCGGTGGTGGTGGGCCGAGGCCTGACTACCAGAGGCCAAGGCGGCGGCGCCACAAGAGCGCAATGCAACTGTGTTGTGCGGGCAGAAAGCCAGCACGTGGGTGGGCGCCGAGGAGCAATCAGCTGCCTCCCTAGTAAGCAGCAAACAGGACCGCATCAGTCGGCCAGCATTTGCTAGCTGGGCTTGGGATCCTGTTTTCTCTTCTCATATACTTATTTGTGATTTGCAAATTGTAATACCTGATTTGTGGATTTGGGAATTGGGAAGATGGATTGAAAAGGAAGGGAAAGCATCAACATTTCAAGAGGTAGATTTGGGGAATTTTGATGAGTCTGTTTATATTAGCACCAAATTGAAGAGCTATTTTAACATATTCAAGTACTCCGTTGTACTGCGCCCCGGTCGCTACCGAGACAACATCAATGCCATTATCCTACCCACAACCGCCATGCCACAACCGCTGGATCGAGCAGTCAAGCACCCCATGTATTTGCGTAAACCCTACAATAGTCTACATCGATCCTTCTTCTAATTGTGTTGAGGTAATTTTTTAAAAAATCATCCTAAAATTAGTGGGCTGCACCAATTACCAATATTTTTATGTATAATAGTTTTGAACATGGTGTTTGCTATTTGAAATATGATGTTGCTCTCATGACCAATGAAGATTTACATTAACTACTTCAGGTTAGATTTGTAAATTATGTAGTTTTTCCTTAATGCATAATCATTGGCTGTGTTTGGTGCTAAATACTGCAGTTTCTTTTAATTTTGTAGGAAAATCTGTAAGAAATTGGAATAACAGAGCAAACCTGAACATTTTCTTGGTATGTACCTATACCTGGTATTCATATTGATGCTATTTTATTAAGTGAATAGCCAATATGTTGATCTTTCATCTGAACCTGAATTACTAGATTACAATGAATTCGTTGGGTTGATACATGAGCAATACACATAAATTTTATAGCATACGCTCTTTTATAAATTGAACATACCACGTTGTCTGCTACAGGTCATGTGATTACCGGTATATCATGATCACTTTTTTTAATTAGGATTTAAGGAAGTTGGAAAGTAAATTATGAACAATTGGTGCCTACACATGCTTTGGCTTCTATTCAGACGAGGTAATTAGTCTTGATTTAGACTAAATATAAAGGGTACCAATTATAATTTTCTAGAAGTGAAAATGAGCTAAAGGGCCAGGAAAACAAAATGGAAAGGATGCTAGGAGGCAGTTGCAATAGTACTCGCATCATCCCTTTACCAACAAAATGAGGCTAATTAATTTGTATTTTATCAACATCCTGAGTGCAAAGACAAGCAGTGGAAACCACTTTTCAAAGGTGTGGAGACTGATGAACTGGAGTTGCTGACAAGAAGACTGAAGGAATGCTGTGCTGGACTGCAAAATATCAGAACTGGGGTGGGTTAGTTAGAGTTTTTTTTGCTGTCTGTTACTTTGTGGAGGTGTTTTGGAAAGCTTTTTGAATCGATGCGCCTGCTGTATCTTCACTTATGGGTCTTGTGTTGTCCCTGCTGTCTAAAAATTGGTTGTTTCTCTAGGCCGGAGGGGCCTCTTTTGGTCGATGTATGCACATTGATGTAAGCTGGAATCCCCAGCAAGACAAATTTGCTTTCTATATAAGCAGGGTCGTTCTTCGACCTTTTCTCTAAAAAAACATCCTGCGTGCAAATATCTTGCTTACAGAATTAGGAATACAATGTGATGTACTATCAGATGCTTTAATGATCTAAAATATGTATGGACAAATTCCCATAGTTCACAAATTAGTTTTGGAGGAGATGATCTATATGATTGGTGGAATGACACAAAAATATCTATTATTTTGTTTCAATGAGAATGAGAATGCTCGACGTGGTGCAAACTGCAAAGTGGATTTTCTAGGTTTTCTTTTATCGAAATAGGTTCAGGATTAGTGAAGTAATTATAGTTTATAGGCAATATTGTTAGGAAAAACCACTAAAATTTTGGCATACTTGCCTCATGATTGGTTAAACGGAAACTGCAGATTGAAGCAGAAATAAATTTCTTGAAAAATCTTGGTTGTTCTGTAAGTGGGATCCTAGAGTTGTGACCTGACATCAAAGTTTTCATTGTTAATTCACCCATTGAACATTTATACGGTGAATTTTTGCACGTCCATTGATCCTGACAAATCTACTGTTATGTTCTTTTTCTTCTGACTGTGCAGATGATCAGTTCCACTGCCAAATGGAAACAAATATGTTAGCATTAGAGTTGAGGTGCCTTTACAGGTCTGCTGGTACGATTGCAGATATAACTTTTTATTTGTACAATTGTATATGTGTGATATTTTTCTCAGCTAAAACTTGTGACCTATCTTTATTCATGTATTAGGAATTTGTTTTTGGATGATCGATTCTGCATGGCTAAATCCATTGTGGATTTGTTGAGGTGGTCCTCCAGGTATGGCCCGGGGCACTCAAGTTTTAACAAAATTATGTGCAACACTTGGGGGTGTATCTATATGGTATTGTTGTGATGAAAGGATAATAATGTGAGTGTGGATTTATAATATATACCTCCTCTTCAAATTAGATTGTAAGAATGAGTGTGTTTTCTCAATTAATATTCTACATGGATTCCTATGTGCACGAATTGGTTGTTTGTTCATTTATGTTTGCATGAAAATAGAAATGATGCTTGTTTCACTTCTGTTTAAATAGATTTATTTCTTAGCTACATGGATTCCAGTGTATAATAGTGGGTATTTTTACACATTGAAGTGTTGCTTTATTTCTCAAGATGAACCGCCAATATTTTTAAGGGCTCATGCTGATAAATTGTAAAATTTAGTCGAAACATGTTATGATGGAAAGAACATGTATTGCACGTGCATGATTACTGGTTTTATTAAAAGGACGAAATTGACTGGCTAAACTTGAATTATCAGCGGTGTTGAAACACGGCCCGACTCCTATGGAAACAACGTTTGGGAACTTTCCACAACGGGTGAACTTTACCGTTGTATGCTCCATTTTTAGTAAGGTCCCTTTTCTGTGCTCAAGTTTTTACTGACAGCCCCAATATTCAACACACTGGGGAGGAGTATATCACGAGCTGACACTGCTGCAGTCTGCAGAGCCAACGAACTACTCCCTATGTCTCTCTCTAAATATAAGCAATTTTGCTTGAATGTGGCATATCCTGATACAATGAATTTGGACAGGAGCTGTATTAGAATATGTCACATCCAACCGCTCCTGTCTAGATTCGTTGTATTATGATATATCACATCCAACCAAAATCCTTTATATTTATGGATGGAGGGAGTAGCTAGCTAGCTAGCCATGCATTAATCTTCACTGCTAAAGCCTGTAAAGAAATATATGTGGCCAGAGATATGCTCCTGTGAATAATACTCCCTCCGTTGTTTCTAAATATTTAACGCTATTGACTTTTTAAAATATGTTTGACTATTCATCTTATTAAAAAAAATTAGTAATTATTAATTCTTTTCCTATCATTTGATTCATTTTTAAATGTACGTATATGTATACATATAGATAAGACGAATGGTTAAATATGTACTAAAAAGTTAATGGTGCCAAATATTTAGAAACGGAGGGAGTAATAGCCGAAGATATTCTTCTGAAGAAATGATAATACTATGACGAGCATCATTATTTGATTTGAAGCGGTAGATTTATACGCAGACAAGTAGACAACTTGCATGCTGCTACATCTATATAGCTTCGCATGCAGCCGCAATTTTTCACCAATTCCACTTTTTTGTGCTCTTGCAAAACTCATTCTGATTATCACTTTTAACATCAACCAAGATATAATAAAAAAATCATGCGACATTACAGACGTATTTATGATGACTAACGTAGTGATATACTATCTCCGTTTTAAAATATCAGGTGTTCTGGTTTTGTCATAAATCAAACATTATCAAGTTTAATCAAGTTTACTAAACAAAAATATTCTAAAAAATTATATTGAATGGTAGAATTAAATAAAATAATTTGATATTGTAATATTATCGCAGTTTTAATAGATTTGGTAAAATTTGCATAGTTTGATAAAGGACAAAACCAAGAAAAACACACAGGGAGTACTTCCTATTTGTACAAAACCAGAAGCAATACTGCCTCGGGATCCAATGTGATCCGGTTTTGTAAAATTCGGGATGTGTTATATCTGCTATTCAGGGATAATAATTTTAAAAACGATAACAAGATAAGGCATAAGGGACCTCAGCTGAACTTTTTCCTTACGCCGAACACCCGGTGTGCTCGGGGCCTTCGCGGCACTTGGCCCATCTCGTCGCTGCTGGGCTGCAGCTTAGGGCCTAAACCAACTCGCGCGGCCCAATCCATTTCCCCCGCCTCGTTCCATTTCCCTCTCCAACATCCAAGCCCTAACCCGCGCGGCTCGAGACTCGCTGCCAAGCCAGCTTCCGCCCACGACGCCGCCGCCGCCGACCGGTCCGGCGAATCCCCCGCTCTCCCGACTCGCGAGGGCTCTCTCTCTCTCCGGTTCGTACTCCCTCCCCACCCCTCTCCCGCTTCCCTCTCCCACAACACCGCTCGCGTCGAGTGACATGCTCACCGGGTGTTCGGCGTAATGCCTCTCCCAGACCAAGAAGCAGCTGCAGGCGGGGACGGCGGCGCGATGGCGAGCGGCGACGGCGCGAACGGCGGTGGCGGTGGCGGGCAGGGGAAGCTCCCGCGGAAGCGGTTCTACCGGGCGCGCGCGCACAGCAACCCGCTCAGCGACTCGCACTTCCCGATCCCGATATCGCCCGACGAGGTAGACCTCTCGCAGCACTACCCGCGGTACTTCCCCTCCGGCGAGGGCGAGGCCCGCCAGGGCGACGCGGCGGTGCCACGGATCCGCTTCGCGGACGTTGGGTGTGGGTTCGGCGGGCTGCTCGTCGGCCTCTCTACGCTCTTCCCGGACACCCTCATGATCGGCATGGAGCTCAGGGACAAGGTTTGTTAGAATTTCCCCCTAAACTTTGATTGGGCAGTAGAGATACATTCATGTGTGAATGGATAACAGCACAAGGTGACACTGAAGAATTCAGTGTTACATTACTCATAGAGACCATTTGAGCTTTCCTTTGTAGAATGATTAGATCGCGCATGGCTTTTACTTCATGAATGTTTAGTGTACCAAATATTGGGAATTTGGGTTGCCTTCCAATTTAGATTCTATAGTAAATATGGATTTCTACTAGACAAAAGTTGCATAGTTTAGTTTGTGATGGTATTATATTATGCAATAGACATGTATTTCTACTTAACAAAAGAACTGGAAGTTTTTTCTTTTCAAAGCTAGTACGTATTTACTTTTGATTCATTTTTTTCTTCGTTGTCTATATTTTTCAGGTGACTGAGTATGTCAAAGAGCGGATTTTGGCTTTAAGAGCATCGAATCCGGGAAAGTACGACAACATATCTGTCGTGCGCACCAATTCGATGAAATACATTCCAAACTATTTCAGGAAGGCTCAGCTTTCGAAAATGTTCTTCCTGTTCCCTGATCCTCACTTCAAGGAGAAGAACCACCGGCGGAGGGTGATCAGCATGCAGCTGCTAGATGAGTATGCTTATGTGATGGAAGTGGGAGGAATCATATATACAATCACAGATGTGGAGGAGCTCGGAGAATGGATGCGGTCATGCCTGGAGAAACACCCGCTGTTCGAAGCTATCCCAGAGGAAGAGACAAAAGCAGACCCAGTTGTCAAGCTACTGTCTACCGCCACTGAAGAAGGTCAGAAGGTTGCAAGAAATGGAGGTCAGACTTTCCAGGCCATCTTTAGACGCATCTCCTTGCAAGAGTAGGCAACTCTTGAATTTACTAGCCTGCAGTGCCATTGCACCTATTGTATGGATTTTGTGTCATCTCTACAAATTTATGTTGCATGAATTTTGCTGTTTAAGGTGTACTAGTTACTCATACCATAGTAATGATGTGTGAAATGTTTGTCTACCTTACATGCTCTGTTTGGAAGTTTGCAGTGACATGTTGCCAAACCCCATGAATTACTGTAGAAACATGTGTCTTATCTGTAGCTGTAGAAACATGCGCCCTTACTGTAGCTAGTCGTGTGATAATTGCATGTTCAGAAAATTTGAGGTTTATGTGCAATCCCATTCTGTTTCATTGCCTAGACAGGTGCATTTCTCAACTCTTTCTAAACGCCAAATGAAATCATCTGAGGTTTAAAACTTGGCTTCGATATGAAAAAAATATATTTATAATTAACGCTCGCTTATGTATGTGGTGATCCTTACTTCTTTTATTAATCCAATTACAAAACGACTGTTATGCAATCTCAGTGAGATCATTTTATGGAGGTGTCCTGTTTGCTTAGCCAGCTTTGTATTCACATAGCCGAACGGTAACACATCAAACGTTTAAAATAACGCCTCTGAGGAACCTCGGTTTGCAAATAAGAAAAAGATCATCTAAATTTGGCTATTTCTTCCATTGTGGCATTAGCTTTTTCGAACCCCTTTACATAAGTTGATCATGAATCAGGATTAGACAACTTCTCTAAAATAAACAGGTTCTAAAAATGGATTGAACAAGCAACTATAGCAAATTGGAGGAATCATCCCATTAAAAACAATAGGAGGAATGACCCAAATCAACAGTTGCTAACATCTAAATCTTTTTTTTTTCTCTGATTCTTGTGACAGAGCTGAGTCACATTTTTCTATTTGCCGGAACAAGTTTGACAAGCTTTGCCAAATCATAAGACTTGAAATCTCTTCCAAAACACAAGCTTATATCCAAGGCAGTCCTTCCATCCTGTAACCAAATCTGAGATCAGAAAGCAGTATTGGCCTATAGACTGTAATACAAAGCTGATGTCCATGGAAATACGAGCATTTGAGATGACAATGCCATAGAAGTCAATTTCTGTGAAGCGGCTAAAAATGACATGAAAATGTATGCCAATTTGCCAAATAAAATCAAGGCTCTGAGTGCACAAGAGGCAGCTGTTATAGGTCTAATTTTTTGGGATAATGCAATTCCGGAAAAAAAAACCCAGTAAACCATAGGGGCATAACATACCTTGGTTCTTCTCGTCTTATCTGCACCATTGACAAGCAATATCTTTGCTATATCTCTATTTCTACTCTGTATAGCTAAATGCAACGGTGTCCAGCCATCCTGCATGAAACGAGACAAAATAAAAGAAAAATCAATGGCACTGAAAAGGGTTGAACTAATAAGAAAAAAAAAAGCACCATAGCACATTACATTATCAGCAACATTGACATCAACCCTATTCTTAATCAGTAACTTCACAGTTTGCAGGGCACCAACTTGAACTGCATAATGTAATGGTGTGGCTCCATCCTGCAAATCAGACAGATTTAATTCAAGGGCCAACATGACATAAAAAATATCTCAAACTGGAGTGGAAATTGTTATGTACTTATGTTGCTAGAGAGAGAAACCAGATCAATGTGATAGGCGCTAACATCACAAAGTTTACTATATTCCACATACTAATGTTATTATGGAACACATAATTCATAGAAAGAGATTGCAGCCTTGCAAGGTTACCCTATCTCTGACATGAGGATTTGCCCCTCTTCGCAGGAGATGGCTAATGACGGCCTCCTTTTTGCCTATGACAGCCTTGTGAAGTGGGGTGAAACCATCCTGTATCATCAGCACTCCCAAAATTAACACGGTTTTCTTTTTCGTGAATGCGCAAAAGCTTTTCACAGGCATAATCCAAGATGGGGTTTTTCACAGGCACCAAAATAGAAAATCATGAGCATGAAACATGCTTCCTCAACATGTTATGTAGAAAGAACATACTTTGTCAAGTAAATTGATATCGACACCACTATCGAGCAGGCTGTCCATGAGAGGTATCTGCAGCGCCAATGCGTAACTATGAAGTGGATGCCATTTCGGCTGCACAAAACAGTCCAATTTCAGGAATTGGGAACAGTTAAAATATCAATGGTGTGCACATTTCCTTAATCAAGATTCTGTAGCAATGTAACAAATTTATGACACACCAAAATATAATATCTGTCAGACATTTACAGAGTGACACTTACTGATGATATTTTGGTGATATCCGGGGTCTCGTTCTGATCCAGGATAGCCATTTCTTCAGGCGTCAAGAGAAGCTCGATTTCTAGACAGAAAAATTCGACAGAATTAAGTGTAGAACATGAAGCATTTCAATTCAGCTGATCAAGAAACTGAAAAATGAAAAAAGAAAATTTGATTTGTCTAGCGCATGCAGCAGATGAACCAATACCTCCTCGAAGCTCCTCTTCTTCTCGCTGCTCTTGCCGCCGCGCGGCGCCGAGCCTGGAGAACAGCGAGGGGGAAGGGAACGAGGAGAAGCTGCTCCTCCGCCCGGTGGCCTCCTGCCGCTCGGCCTCGGCCTCTGCCCCATCCCCATCCTCGTCGTCGCTCCCGGAGCCGCCGTCGTCCGGCTCCTCCCAGAACACGTCGCCGTGGGAAGGGCGCGCGGCGCGCGGCGCCGCCCCGGGGCCAACCGAGAGAAGCGGCGGCGGAGGAGGGGAAGGGTGGTGCGGGGGCGGTGGGAGGCGCGGAGAGCGCGCGCGCCGGGGCATGGCGCGGAGGAGCGGAGCCGACGAGGCCGGGGAGGTGGTGGCCGCCGTCGCCGGCGGCGGCGCCCATGGGAGCATCGCGCGCGTAGCTTAGGTGTTCGTCTGGGTGCCTCTTATCGTGAAAGAGGAGGGGTGAGCTGGAGCTGGAAGCTCCTGGAGTTGAGGTTTTGGGTTCTACCGTTTCACCGTTTGGAAAGGAACAAAATCTGGAAGGAGATGTGATAAAAAAATGAAAAAAACATTTTTTTTTCAGAAAAAACTACTCCATGGATCATGGTCTCTATACAGCATTAGGCTAGTGATGTTTCTATGGATTGTTCAGATTGATGTCATTTTAAACTATACCAATTTTTTTTAAGAAATGTCGTTAAAGATGTGCATCTATTTAGGACCGTTTTGGATTGAAGCTAAAACTGTGCCCTACCAAAATTTTGGTAATTTAAATAGTAAATATGCTAGTTTGGTTTGAAGCCAAACAATTGATAGTGCCCATACTCAATTTGGACATATTCTAGAATATTCTTCACCATACTACTAAAATTTGGCTCCATATTGGTATTAAACCAAAAGTAGTCTAATTAACTTTTCCCTACCAAAAAATTGGTAGTGCCAAAATTTGCCTAGATTTTGGCACTACCAATAAATAGGTAGGGTAGAGAACCAAATAAGCCCTTAGTTTTTACTCCTTCCGTCCCATTTTAAATGTAACCATAAGTTTCCCCGCACAAACTTGATTGTCCGTCTTATTTGAATTTTTTTATAATTAGTATTTTTGTTGTTATGTGATAATAAAACATAAATAGTACTTTACTCGTGACTTATGTTTTAAAATTTTTTTGAAAAAAAATCAAATAAAACGGACGGTCAAAGTTGAGCGCGGAAAATCATGGTTGCACATAAAATGGGACGGAGGGAGTTCCAAACTTTAATAAATACATAAGAAATCATGTTAAAACTTGGCAATATTACTAAGTTGCCAATGACAAAATTTGATAAGGTTTAATTTGATTACAATCTGAACTGCCTTTTAACTTTTTAGAATCCCCAATATTTTACAATATTTTGAATGTGACTTGAAAAGGGACATATACTCGGTTGTACTGAGCTGTTTTCTTGCACATGAAACTGAGACATGTTATTAGCTACTTTCGTTTCGTATTATAAGTTGATTTGTCTTTTGTATAATTAAACTTTTTTAGGTTCAAAAAAAATTAACAATATCTATAACTTTAAATTTACTTTCAATAAATGTAACATTGAATGTAAATATATTGTGATCATATAAAACTTTTGGGTTGAAAATATTACTATATTTTTCTATAAACTTGGTTAAACTTACGAAATGAGAAAATAAATCAAAAGCGACTTATAATATGAAACAGAGGGAGTAGTGATTAATTAAGTTTTAACTATTACAAAATTAAAAAAATGGTTTTATTTGAATTATTTAAAAAAACTTATATATAAAATAATTCTGTAAAAAAAAGCACCATTCAATTGATGTTTAGAAAGCATGCTCACGGTGAATGGAGTTGCAAAAGTTAATAAAAAACGAACGAAGCATTAGTGATGAAAGCAATGAAAAATAATTTTAATATAAATGTTAGTATATACTTTCATTCTCAGGCTTTCATCGGTTGGCCAATTACGGATAATGCGCCAAACAACATATTATCGATTAAAAATAATTTACGGTTAAAACTAATAACAACTTAAACGTTAATGTTTAAAAAATACGATGAAAAATCTTTAAATTAACTCTAAAATTAAGTTTTATTATTCAAATTTTGACAAAAAAAAATGTGCCTTTTAGAATTCTAAAGGTGCAGGGCCGAGTGGTAAGACCAAGGAAAATCCCACTAAATTGGTTATGATATCTATTTTGGAAAACAAAAAGGAGAAAAAATCAATCTTACTCGCTCGAAGTATTTCATTTGGATCACTTAACCACTAAAATATTTTTCTAATTTACCCCTAAGTACTTTTTGGTTCATTTTGTCTCTAAACTATTGAAAATGATTCACTGTACTCACTAATAGCATTTTTTTCTTCTTTTTCTTTCTCTTTATACCTGAAATTTTTTAAACCATAGAGACACCACTATCAAAGTTCAAATAATATTTGCAACTTTTTTCATGATCGTTTACTTGAACTTTAAAATCTCAAAGTTCAAAATTAATCTTAGGTATTTCCAACCTATGTAAACACCTATAAAAAATATTCTAAAAGGATAATAAGACATAAGTTGTAAATTGTTACCCATCTATCATCCAATCAAATTTCAGTGTGAAATACAACTTACATATGGAGAGAAAATACCGTGATGGAGTAAATTGAACCCCTTTTTTATAGTTGTTGTAATAGCAAATCAATTTTATTAGGGTTTAATTAAAATGCACCATTTTTTTTGCAGATGAGCATAATTCTTTAAAAATAAGCACACATAATCTTTGGCAACTACACAAGCACAAATGGAAAAATAAAACTTTTTTTTTACTTACCCTCCAAGCCAGAAGGCCCTTTTAATGTCCAAAATAAATTGGAGAGAGTGAGCGGTCAAGCAAAAGGAAACCAACACCCGCGTGTTGTGTGTAGAACCACCGCCTCGCCGCGCCGCCGCCGCCGGCGGAGAGAGAGAGAGAATGCTCACCCGAACCCTCGCCGGCCGCGTCCGCCCCCTCCTCGCTGCCGCGGGCCTCCGCGGCTACGCGCCCCGCGCGGCCGCCGACCTCGTCGTCGTCGGCGACGAGGAGCCCCCGCCGCGCACCGCGTCCTCCGCCTCCGCCGCCGCCACCGTCTCCATCGCGGCCACTGCGCCCACCGTCCTGCAGCCGCGCGTGCTCATCTACGACGGCGTCTGCCACCTCTGCCACCGCGGTGAGCACATGTACAGGCCCCCAATTGTGGGGGGACTCATTTCTACCTCGAATCGGCGACGAATTGGGGGCATTTGGTTGTGATCGAAATGCGGTTTGGGGCTTTGCATTGCAGGGGTGAAGTGGGTGATCAAGGCGGACAAGCACGCCAAGATCAGGTTCTGCTGCGTGCAGTCCAAGGCCGCGGAGCCGTACCTGAGACTGGTCGGGATGGACAGGGAGGACGTGCTGCGGCGAGTCCTCTTCATCGAGGGGCCTGAGGCCTACTACGAGGGATCCACAGGTTAGCATTGCATCTCTGATGATTCGGAAATCGGGGCAATGTTGTGATCTTTCCAAGAACATGTTGGCTACTTGTTAGAGCAGGTACAATAGCATACTATATGCCAGCTATAAATATATTTTAAAGAGATAAATGAAGATAGAGAAGAACAGCGGGCTATAGATCTGTAACCAGCTACAGCACGAACTCCAAAACGTAATGTGTGTATGACAGGTGGGACCAGATATTAATAGTGTAATAAGCAACTATTGTATGAATTGGCTATTACATTGGCTATAGATGATTTAGAGCTAGTAGTGGGCTATACTATTAAACTTGCTCTGTATCAACGGACTAGTAGATTAGCAATGCTGGGGATCTAAGAGTGGTAGAAAAATTTGCAACCATTGGTGGATGGATACCAGTGAGTGATAGTTAGTACCCTGTACTCGCTGGATTTGCATACCTTGTTTGAATTTGTAGCAATTTTGCATGGCATGAGGCAAAATTCGTTGGGAAATGCAGTGGATTTCTTTGTCATTTTCTGCAAGAATGCCATCATGGAGGGCATTGGAGTTTAGAGGCCACTTGATAAATGCTTTGGGTGATTTTCAGTACCATCTAGTGTCTGTGGTTATGGCTTTGATTTTCTGAATGGGATCACCTCTGAACTTCTTTCTGGTGTTTATGAGTTGTGTCAAATGCAGGATTCAACATTTGCTAGGTTTGTGATAGATAGGTGTGCCCCCTTATTTACCAGTAATGCATGAGAGCAACATGCTTTACACTCTAGTATTTTTTTTTTGGATCATGCATTTGTTCAACCAAGTTATTGCAATGATAGCCATTGCTGTGCTCCTGCAAAAAAGTACAAATTTCTAGAGGCCACAGTTCCTTTCATAATGTAGCTCAATCATTCCCTGAGACACCAATTAATCTGGCAGAATACATAGATTATAGATATGGTTGTACTGTCCATATAGCAGCACTAACTGGAAGATCGAAAGTACTAACTGAAGGATCCTTTTAATGATACTCATTTAGGGAAAAAAAATAAACAGCAATTCTTTATGTACTTTTTGCTGTTTAATCATGTCATATTTGCCCACCCTTATTTCCTGTGGTAATCAGGGTACTAAATCTTCCATGTTTTGGTTGCAGCTGCTTTGAAAGTTGCATCGTACCTGCCTCTTCCCTACTCAGCTTTGAGCTCCCTGCTGATCATCCCCGCCCCACTGCGGGATGCAATCTACGATTACATTGCAAAGAATCGCTACGATTGGTTTGGCAAGGATGATGAATGCATCGTTACCAAGAACAAGGAGCTTCTTGAGCGCTTCATCGACAGGGAGGAGATGCTTGGAGGTGGTCCCAGCAATAGCTTCTGATGATCACAGTTTTTGCTGCCCTAGTTCCACTTCTTAGTTCCAGTTGTAGGTTTAGGCACAGAGAGATGTAAATAATCTTCACATGATCACATCCATGTAGGGTACTACTTATGGACTAAAGGGTTTTCTTGACTTTTGAGTGTTTATGCCTACAAATTTGACACCACTACTAGTGTCCGGGATGCAGCATTATCATTAGTCTGCATGCGGAACTTGGATAGGCAATGTCAAGAGAAAGGAGAGTTTTAGGATTGTGATTATTATCTCAGTGTAACAGGTTAAGAAATGCCTTTTGACCTGTCAAATTTCACAAGAACATTCAAGATGAACCACATTATGCCTGAATTCTTGTATGTTTTGTGTTCATTGTTGCCCCGATGGGATATGGTTTAACATCACTTCTTTTTTTGCCGTTGTGTTATCATGCATGGTTGCTTGATAGTTTGTGAGGCCTTGCATTGTTGAATTTAGAAATAATCTTGATTTGACTGAAAAATAGACACAACTGCGGTGCAAACTCTGCTTATGATCTTTGCAAACCATTGTGATGTCTGAGAGGTCATAAGAAATGGATTTACAACAGAGTTATATATATACTGTTGTCTGCAGTTAGTACATGCCAGCAAAAGAGAGTTTGACCATTGCGGCAAGTGTCAAAGACAAAAACAACTCTGCTTTTCTGCAGTACGAGAAAACAAAACTATAAAAATCTAGCAAACTACATCTACATTTTTCCTAATTTCTACAGACAGGTTTGGAAACAGCCAGCCTACTGGCAATAGAAAGTAGGGGAAATACAAAAGGTATATAGCTCTAGCAAACTGCATTTTCTACAGAAGGGTTTCGACAAAGGCTAGAGATTACGTTCGTGAGGTTCCAACCAGGGGAATCCAAGTGTATCGAACACATCCTTCTCGGTGTCACAATTAATTATAGCATCTGATCTTCCCCCCTGCAAAAACTCACAATGAATGGAGCAAAGCAAACAACTTGTATGGATTTGGAATGAAAAATCACATGTACATACACGCTTTCCACCACTGCCCGGTGTAGCAAGATACAAACCAGTGTCGTCAAGAATGTAGCCTTTGGAATCTGCTAGTATTCTTAATCTGCATGTTTCAATTACGAAACTTGTAAAAAAAAGCTGTGGTCTTGCATTCCTGATCATGATAACGTGTATGACTAAAGAGCTCAAATGCATACCGTCGATTCAGAACATCATTGCCAGTCCAAGCAAGCAGCCCAAATGCATGTCTGTTCCTTGGGTATACCTTCTAACATCGAATTGTCACCATTTTATCAGCATGAGTTGGTACATGAATGTTATGCAGCATATATTGCATGGCATAGTCGATGGGGAAATCACTATAAATGTTGTTTTATTTACCAAGATGAAGGATTGTAAGTTTATAATCACATTCATGCCAATGCCATAAATAAAAGGACAAAGAACAAAGCAGTGCTTTGTTGATGTGTCACGAACATAAGACCAAGACTATTGAAGACACTGGAGATGCAAACAGCAAAAGGAACATTGAAATTTGTTTAGTTTTAATCAATAAGAAACAAATCCTGTCAAATGAAGATGACATGAACCAAATTACTCCTGCTGGAATAATATTATACCTTGAGGTCGATGCGATGGCGCAGCTCACGCCCAGGATATGTGCAAAGACCAAAATATGTGTCAACTCCACAATCAGTTCCCTGCATTGAGATGAGCAATGCCAGTTCGTTCAAATCTTCTTACACAATTTCTCAAGATGTTAAAAAGGTACTACTTCCATCGATTTTTATAAGATATATTTTGATCTTAAAAAGCCTTCAAGATTAAAAACTGATCATTCATTCTTTCTCATAAAATATATTCTTAATAGCTACAAAACCAATATTGTGTGATAGCACTTTGAAATATGAACATTTAGCCCACTTTTATATGATCTTATCTTTTTTTTTCTCAATTTGTTTAGGAAAAAGTCCACTTTTGGTCCTTTAACTCTTGCTCGGATCTAGCATTCTAGCTTACATCCAGAACTTTAATATTGTTTTGCTTTCATCCATTGACTATCAAAGCAGTGTAAATTACATTCATAGAAGTTCTTGAGTGTTTCTGGATTACGTGGCTGCCTTTTCAATCATGGTATCCACACCACCTCATTTGGGGAAAAAACCAGAACAAAAATTTTCTTTGGTAAATTATTAAAGCATATCAACCCATAAGTAAATAGGATACCTTGTCACCCAAAATCACCATAAAAAATATACTCGGGATGTTATTTGAACAGTTTTTATGGTTGAAACATGTGCTCTAAGCGGTATTGATGTTCAGAGTATAAATTAAATCCAAGCAGAAGTGGAGGGACCAAATGTGATCTTTCCCATTTGTTTATAATCACTCTTCTCAAAATCTCTGAAAGTAGTGGCCAAGAACTTACCTCAATGCTGTGTATGCTGAAAATAAGATCCTCCCTCAAAAAATTGATGCCCTTCAAGCGCTGAACAAATTTTGGTAAAAAGCCTACATGACTGGAGAAAAATGTATGGTCCCTTTTACAATGTCCAGATGATTAATCATTGATGTTCTTATATAAAAATGTGTTGTGTGCAGACCGCATAATAGAAACTTGGTCATAATGAATAATTATGCTTATGATAGATGACAAATTGATAAACCAAACCTACAAGTTGCCAGAAAATAACTTTCCATGACTGTAAAATAACTAAATGGCTGTTTGGTGTGGTGCCAAGGTTCAGTGTTGAATTCAATAGAATACACTGAACGCACAGCAGATGGGTAATTTCTCATCATACTTAAATAAAAATCACGTGGCATACTCAATAACCAACAATTTTTGAAAGTTTTGAAGTATACCTTTCACCATCAGGATGAGTGATAATAATATCCATGTCACCACAAGAAGATTTTCCACGTCTGTATGATCCCCCACATACAATTATCACCTCCAAATAAAAAAGATCATGTATAACAACCCAATAATCACTTAAGGGAAATTATTGTTCTACTAAAATCTTAAATATATGAGCTATTTGTTTTCAAGAATCAAATCGGCCTAGGATCTCGATAGGATGACCCCATTCCTCATTTTTGTACTGGATGTGTACTTTCAGAGGATGACTGGAGGAATGGTGATGAACCAACCCATCTAGTTCTCCAAACAAAATAAGTAGTCAGGTTCAGACTAATAGGGAACTACAAAAAATAGGTGTAAGCAACTAGCTGCTACAGGAAACAATAACCACCGCATATGTTGAGACAAATTGAACATGGAACTGATGCTTCAGTATTAGTTTTTGAATGGCTTGTGTAGTTATATGTAATGGAGACAAATGGTTCCTTTAAATACTATATGGAACTTACCCCAGGCAAGATATCAGTCCCAACTTCTTGCAAAAGCTTCTCCATCTCACTAACCTAGATAACAGGAGAGTAAAATACGTGTAATGTTAGATTGTACTTCGAATAGCTAGTAATAATAGGAAAAGAAAACAATTCAATGGGCTTACAGAATACATACCTCATGTCGGGGTATTCTTTGTTTGATATCGTCAAAGAACTTCAGGCCAATCCTCTGAGCACTTGTAAGTGAATCGTCTTTTTGAAGGTCATCCAGTGTACGATGTCCTTTATCATATAACTTGAGAGCAGTTGCAGGACCAACACCCCAAACTTCGCCAAATAGGCTGACAGTTCGAACCTTTAAGGTGATATGCAAATCAGTAAATATCAGGGAGTATGGCTGGATAATGCTTAAGAGCTACTCCTGTTCACTGAAAACCAAGTTACCTTCTCATCATTCTCAAAGTGCTCTAGCTTGGAAAGCTTTCCTGTATTTACTATCTCATTAATCTGCATATACAAGGGTAGTTAGACAATCAAACACCTGAGATATTACATGTAGAACGATGAATGTATGAATTCATATTTTCCTTGGAACTTCTGTGGTACTTTTAGAACCTGTTTGCTCAATGAAGGTGTGAATAAATTTTCAGCCCTCAACAGCAAAACAAAATAGAAGACCAACATATTTTTAAGAAAACAGAGTTATGACACAGTTACTACATCACCCATAGACCATAGTGGATAAAAAAATAGAATCATGAACTTGTACAAAGGCCAAAAATATATATGTTGACTTGTAAATCACCAATTAATATGAATTAATGGTAGAAAAGGATTAACATACATGGTCTTTCAATGATTTCCCAATAGCAGGGAGGTCTTTAACTTGATCAGCGCTTTCTATTTTGAATGGCAATTTCTCAATCACTGGAATAGCCTTGTAATAGCTAAATGATCTTCGGTCATCTCCCAGGGCTTCAAGTGAAAGGGAAGGAAATGTTATTTGTAGAGAAAGTATATGAAATGTTAATACAATGAATAAGAAGAATGAGAAGATTTCTGTACAATGTCCTTACCTCTATATATATTGATCAGCTTTCCAAAAATCTCAGTTATGTTCCTGTTCAAGTCTGGAGGAGCATACGTTGAGGATTCTCCAGAAGAGGCTTCCTAGTTATATAAGCAATGAATCAACACTAGGAAATATAAATCCTCAGGGTTCAGGAGTTATATGTTGTATGGTACAGAGCAATATATCACCATTGAGGGTGCAAAATAGATATACAGCTGACCACCAAAGGTCTTAAAGTTGCTACAGCAGTGTTTTCATTTTTGAACAGATAAAGGCAACTGCGTACATTTTTATAGCAGAAGAAAAACAGTCTCAAGTCTAGTCATGTTGAAGTCAGTGTAGATGTAACTTAGAGCTTAGAGTAAGCTAATTACAAAAAGGAGAAGCTAAAAAGTGTTTCCTCTTTTTTGTTTACATATGTTCAGAATGGAGCTTGTACGAATTTGAGCAAACCAAAGAGGATAAGTGCAGCAAAACAACATAACCCAGACTTTAGAGCCCAGTTAGTTTGTACTATAATTTATAAGACCATGCTTATACCTCAGCTTTGAATGCATTTTGAGAAGCTATGGTTTCCTTAGAATCTCCAGAGGCACTTTGGCTACTTGTACACGTGCTAGGCCCCTTTACAACATCCGAATCTTCATTTGGATGTGCAATTGCATCTCGAGATTCTCGATTACCCCCAGCAGTTTCCTTCCGATTCTCAGGACCGTCTGATGATATTTTGCTCCTCTTTGCAGACTGCAACACACCTGAACCTGCAGCACCACCTTCCTTCTTCGGCTTAAATTCCTCTTCGTAGTTGATAGCAAACTTGTGCTCCGGTAGCCTCTCCCCGGATTTGAGGCACTCCTCCAGCCACTCGAATGACACCACGCTCTGCAATCAAAAAAAAAATCAGTTCTTATAGTAGTAAATACAATCACTTGATGTTAGCCGAGATCTCTCTGCAACAAAAATCCAGTCCTTATAGAAAGAAACACAATCACTTGATGTTAGCAGAAATCTTTCCATGTTATGAAATCTCTATAACTCAATGTAGTACTACTACTAGCAGTAGATTTGGGCTGTGAAAATGCAGATGGTAGCAAGGCACACCAAGCTTGCCGAGAGGAGATTAGGGTTTCAAGCTAGGGAGCCAAGCCGATTACCCCGCGAAAGCGGTGGAGCCAGGCGGCGTCGAGCTCCCGGAGCAGCGCCTTGGCGTCGGCGGCCAGGACGTGGGTGACCGCGCCGCCGCCGCCCTTGGCGGCGAGCTTCTCCTGGACGCGTCCCCCCATCTGCGCCAGCCTCTGCTTCCACACCTGCACCGACGACGAAAGCCAGGAAACCCTAAGCACAGGAGAGAGAGTTGGTGGGGGTTGGGATGGATTGCTCGGTGGAGCCGCGACCTCGAGGCGGCGAGACTGGACGGCGTGGGGGACGACGAAGGCGGAGACGCCGCGGAACATGCCGTCGGGGTCCAACTTCGCCGCCGCCGCCCTCGCCGGCGGCTTCCGCTTCGGAGCCATGGAGAACTCCCGCCTTCTCCCTTCCTCGCTGACTTCAGAGTTCAGAGCCACAGGGGTTTTGGGGAGGTTTTAGAATTTCTTCTTCATCAGGGTTCCTTTAAAACCCTAAAATTTAGAATTTACTGGATTTTCGTAGAATCTACTAGTTCAGTTATTTTAAAAACCTTTTAAATTTTTCCCATTTCAAAGAAGGCCTGACAGGTTGTCCAAGAAATTATTTCTGAAATTTGTGGATGAATTGAAATTCAAACCACAAGCCACAAGGCACAATCAAGAACAGCTCCACAGATTATCAGAGACAAATGAGCAAAAGCACACAGTAATTTGCATAAATATCATTTACATCATCCGATGTACAACAAATTAATCAAGCCACACGCAAAATCTATATTGTAAGTATGTAAAGCTCAAATCCTCAATGCTGCTCTCCTCCTAATATTGGGAGGGGCTTATTGCTTGTGAGCAAATCAAATCAATACCTATAGTTCCTTTTCTGTTTTCCCTCAAATTTTACAACTCAAGCATTGTACAAAACAAGAAAACAAGCAAAATGGCAAACCAAAGTATCAACAGTAGTATCCACCCATCTGGGTTAAAAACTGTGTACTGTTGCTAACTAACTGTAACCAGCTCAGGCAGTTTCTGTGGTGTCTGCTTCTAGTGAGGGTTTGTCAGTGGCTGTTTCTGTGTCACCTTGCAATGGCGCCTCCTCAACGGCAGCATCCTCCGGTGATGACTTGGTCGCGCCATCTTCTTCCTCTGATGGTTTGTGAGCCTCTGGCTTTTCAAGGTCCATGCTATCCTCTGATGGCTTGGCGCTGTCATCATCTTCCACTGATGGCTTATCAAGAACCACACTGTCCTCTGATGGCTTCGCACTCGCCTCGTCTTCCTCCAACGGTTTCTCAAGACCAGCATTGTCCTGTGTTGGCTCCACACTTCCCTTGTCTTCCTCTGGTTCCTTCTCAAGAGTTACAGGGTCCTCTGTCTGCTTGGTGCCAGCATCATCTTTCTCCGATGGCTTCTCAAAGGTCGTACTGTCTTCTGGTAGCTTGGCACTCGCCTCATCCTCCTCCAATGTTTTCTCAAGAGCATCATTGCCTTCTGATGGCTTTACACTTCCCTCATCTTCCTCTGATGCCTTCTCAAGAGTTATAGTGTTCTCTGATGGCTCCACGCTGGCGCTATCGTCCTGCGGCGGCTCCTCAAGAGCACTGCTGTCTTCGGATGGCTTTATGCTGGCCTCGTCGTCGTGTTTTGGTTCCTCGACAGCTATGGCACTTTCTGATGGCGTTTCTATGGATGCACTGCTCTGAGGTGGTGCCTCCTCAGAAACGTTGCCGTCTGCAGCTTCGCTAATGCTTATGCTACTCTTTGGAGTGTTATGAGGCAGGGTTTCAGTATCTGGGGTGCTTTCTGATGGTTTATCATGCACATCATCACTTTCGATTTCCGGTGGCTTCTCATCCTCGACAGATGCATCATTTTCAGGCTCCAATGGCTGCTCAGTTGACTTGTCAGAAGCTTCATCAGTTTGAGGTTCTGATGGAACCTCGTTAGTTCTATCACTTTGATGCAGCACTGGTGTCTCAACTCCAGTTTGAGATTCTGATAACACCTCAGCTGACCTTTCAGCAGCTGCATCAATTTGAGGTTCTGCTGGATCCTCGGTAACCACATCACTTTCACGCAGTGTTGCCTTCTCACCTGCAGTTCGAGATTCTGATGGCTGCTCAGCCAACTGATCAGAAGCAGTATCTCTTTCAGGTTCTGATGACTCCTTGGCAGTTGCATCACTATTATGCTCTTGTGGATTCTCTTCATATGCTTCGTGTTGAGGTTCCAATGGCTGCTCTGAAGCTGCAGCCTTTTGATTTTCTAATGGTTGCTCCGTTGCAACTTTAGCAGGTGCAACATCTTGGGACTCTGATGACTGGTCAGCAGCTGGATCGGTGTTAGCTTCTAATATCTGGTCAGATGTCTTCTCGGCAGATACAATGCCTTGAGGTCCTACTAACTGCTCAGCAGTTGGCCTGATTTGAGCATCTGATGAGTTCACACCAGAAGTGGCATCACTTTCAGGCTCGGTAGGATTCCCAACATTGGCATCAACCTGAGGTGGCTTCTCAAGACTGAGATCACTTTGTTTTGTTGTGCTTTCAGCATTAGCTTCATTTTGAAGTGGCTTCTCAGCAGTCTCTTCACTCTCGTGTGGCTGCTCAGAAGGTTCATTGGTTTGCGGTAGCTTCTCTGCAGCATCTTCTTTAGATGGCTTTTCGGTTAGAGTAGCAGTTTGAGATAGCTTCTCAACAGCCATGGTACTTTCTGGTAATTTATCTGTCAGTATCTCCCTCTCGGAGATTTCCTGATGAGCTGCATCACTTGGAGATGGTTCTGACATGGCTTCTACACTTTGGGTCAGGGGTAGCTCGTCAGTAGCAATATCAGTCTGTGATGGCTTCTCATTTTCAGCAGTGTTTTCTGATGGCTTCTTAGATGGTTCAGTGATCTGAGATGATGCTACAGCAAGTATGTCACTTTCTGACAATTTTTCTGTGGAAGTATCAGCTTGCGATTTATTTGCAGTAAGTGGTAGTTTTTTGGCACTTTCACTTATTTGTGATGAATTCTCTGTGGTAGCACCATTGTTCTTTTTATCTTGAATGATCTGTGATTTGTTATCAGCAGTCACATTGGTTTTCTCTGCTTCTTCAGCAAGTACACGGTTTTGTAACGGTTTGTTGCTAGATATATCCTTCTCTGGCTCTTTTTCTCTAGACACGCTTCTTTGCCATGGCTTTTTCACAACCACGCTGCTTTGGAGCGGGTTGGTGCTAGCCACACTAACTTGTGATGGTGTCACAACCGACGCACCGCTTTGCGATTGCTTTTCAGTTGGAACATTGCGCTGCCACAATCTTTTGCCCATTCCCCTGCTTTCAGGTGTCTTTGCATCAGTTACACTGCTCTGGGGCTGTTTCTGGAATCCGATGTTACGTTGCCATTGCTTTTTAACCACTGCTGCAGTGCTCTCTGATGGCTTTACATCATCTGCACTGGTCTGTGAAGGTTTCTCCGTGATTCCACTGTGTTCCTGTGGCACAGTGGGTGTTGTACTGGTTTCTGCCAGCTTCACATCGATAGCACTGCTAGATGACTTCTCAGTGTCTGTATTGTTCTGCAGTGGCTTCTCCGTGTCTATATTGTTCTGCAGTGGCTTCTCATTGACCACTTTGTGCTCCCATGGCCTTTTAATTGATGTGGTGCTTTCTGATGGCTTTGTATCATTTGTCAATGATGACTTCTCAGTTGGTCCACTGTTCTGTATCTGCGCCTCAGCAGCCACAGCACGTTGCCATGGTTTTCTGATCAATTTGCTGTTTTCTGATGGCTTCACATCATCTGCACTGGTTGATGATGGCTTATCTGATGGCGAAATGCTCTGCGGTAGATTCTCCGTAGCTACCCTCCGTTGCCATGGCCTTTTTACCACTGTGCTGGCAGTGCTGCTTTCTGGCTGTTTTGCATCAACCCCATTACTTGGCAATGATTCCTCAATGGCAGCACTGCTTGGAGTTGACTTTTCAGTGGTTGTGTTACTCAGCAATGGCTTATCTGTGGGAAGATTGCGCTGCCATGGTTTTCTTACGGCTGCACTACTTCCTGATGGCTGTAAGTTAACTGCACTGCTCTGGAATGGCTTTTCTACACTGCTTTCCAATGGCTTCTTGCTGACTACATGACTATTTGACTCACCCTTGGTAACCCTTTCCCCTTCTTCTGACCTCTGAACTGTTGTGCTGCTTTCTGATTGTTTTGGGACATCAACGCTACTTTGTGATTGCTTTTCAGCCACAATATCGTCTTGTGACGGTTTCTCAGGAGTGAGTTCACTTTCTAAAGGTTTCTCAGTGAGCCCATCACCTTGACCTGGGCCTCCTGGATTCTTGGTAGCATCTTCATGTTCTGGTTGCTTCTCGATATCCACTTTTGCATTTGGAGTACTATCCTCAAAATTGCTGAAGTTTCCCTTAACCATAAATAATTGAGAGTGATGGGTCTTGCAATAAAGTTTGCCTTCATGTGTGACATTGTTGGATGGGCTAAGAGTACAGCCTCCATGGGTGCAACGGAAGCATGATTTATGATATGAGCTCCCGTTAAGATTAACCTGCAAAATATTAATTGAATTAATCATTTCTTATCGGTTATCCTAACATTGCATTCTTCTATAGCTTACATAAGTTAGCCACAGAAAATGACTAATGCAGTAGTATGAGGGAAAAAAGTATATAACGCCCAAATATTGCTAAAAATATAGCATATTGGCATGTAATAAATGTGTTCTTAAATATTGTCAAAAAATAGGTCAATGAACTGATTCTACAACATTGTGAAAATTTGACAGCAATTCAGTATTTTAGGAAAGGGTATAGAAGTCTCCATTTGGCTTAGCTTGCCACTCTTTTTGCTTGTGAGAAGAAAATTATTGATACTTAATTACAACTGGAAAACTTTATCAGATGTAGTAATTCTAATTATTGTGGATATATTCTAATAACAAGCACGATAAGATTTATCGCATTAGCAGTTGCCACTGAATTAGTCTTGTGATGGAGCACATAAGATGATGAGGCCAACTACAATGCTCAATTGTCAACCATATCATAAATAGAAGAGCGCTTACATGATTAATTCCCTGAACAGGAGAACAGCTGTTGGTTTATAACATTTATTGAAGTTGAACAGGGGAAGATTAAATAATACAGTAGTATAATACTGACCTTTTCAAGAGGGTACACAGTCTTGTTACAAACTACGCACTTGTCTTGTGTGCCAACAAACATGCTAGAGAATCTGTTCGGTTGCCCCTGCAGTTTGGATAACATAAAAGAGGAAGTGGACATGAATGTTATGTCCTCTACATCAAAGCTGCCAAACAATTTAGATACTAGGGACGTGCTTCAAAAACATAAAAGAGCATATCTTAGAAATATATTACGATACCTTGTTTCCATTCGATTTTTCTGCTTTAGCTGATTTTGATGTCCCTGGCATAATATAGTCAAAATTTAGGGCAGGCCTAAAAATCATGAGACAATAGCAACAATTTCGAGGTAAAGACACTAGCAATAATTAAGGCATCAAGCCCAGTGGATTTAGTTTTCTCTTCAGTACCTTCAAAACTTTTCTCCAAACTGCCGGTTGATTTCAATATCTGGTCATAGTGAGGTTTGCAATATAGGACACCTTCGACAGAAGAATAGTTACTAAACTGTAAAAGATAATAAAAAAATATTAGCTGGTTTCATATATGTAGCTTAGTTGCAAACAGAACAAGATAGGTGTAGTTCTAGCTAGTATGATGAGGCATAAAGATTTAGTGTGATCATTATTATTCTCAACAGAAATATACCAAAACCAAGAAAAAAACATGCTAGCTGCATTTACATCCATGATGCATTGAGGACAGCATGATTAATTCCATGTTATTACTTTCAAAAGGCAGGCTAATCATACGGCACTCACCAACAGCATAATACCAACCTAGCAAATCAGCCAGCACTATATTTAATAGGTGAACCAGTCAGTTCAGGAATATGATGAACAGACAACAGTTGTACCAAAAAAAACAAACATTTATTTGCTACCCTATCCATTCCAGTCCATCCCTCATGCCACAATAACAAGAAAAATAATTGGGATATTTACTAAGACGCCAAGAAATTGCGTCGAAGATGGATTAAACAAATAAACCGTGGTTAGGCAAATTTACTGATGCTTCGTGGGTTCGTTATCACATAAACGGATAGCAAAGTGATTGGTTATCCAGTTAGTCAATCACAGTCGCAACTTGATTATTGAAATGAGCATGCAACCTAACTCCCATCTTCGACTGGTCTCGAGAAAAGAAAAAAAGAAAAAGAAAAAAGCAGGCCATACAGTACAGCAACAACAACTAAAGCATTCCAAGATGGATATGATTTCAGGAAGCCGATAGTACTCGCAATAATAGCATCGACCCAGATTAACAAAAACAAGGCATAAAGCCAGTACAAAAAAAAAATCTGGTAATTAATGGATGGATCGAGCAGAGTAGGGGACGGGGGACCTGGAGGGTGGCCTTGCAGTGGGTGCAGCGGAAGCACGGGCGGTGGTAGACGCGGCCGTCGGCGGCGAGCTCCTCGACGGGGTAGACCGTCCTCCCGCACGAGTCGCACTTCTGCGTCGTGCCGCCCCACGCCGCCGCCGCCATCCCGGCTTCCCCCCCCCCCCCCCCTCCACCTCCGCCTCCGCCTCCGCCTCCGCGCCGCCCTGGATGCTTCTCGTTCTCGCCGCGCGCGCGCGAGGTTGTGTGTGTGTGGGGAGGAAGGTGGTGGGGAAGAGGAGAAGGAGGAGGAGGAGGCGATGATGATTAGTGAAGGCGAAAGCAGCGGCAGCACAGCTCAGCTTGGGGAGGGGGCGGGTGGAGGGAAGCGTTGGCGAATAACGGGGAACGGCAGCGCAGAGGAGACGGGGGAGTGGGTGCGGCGTGCGCTCAAAAAGGAGGGAAGGGGAAATGCTACGGGCACTCCGACGAGAAAAAAAGGAATAAGAGCCTCATCTTTCCGCTTACTTATCAGCTAGTAAAATTTAAATTTTTAACCTTAAATTTAATTTAAATTGATTTTAAGGTTTATTTTACTCGAATTTTATTTTTTAATCTTTACTTTTAAATCGCTAAGAACACGTTTATAAAAGTTTTATTTACAAATTATTTTTTAGATCAATTTTACGTGCGGTTAATAAGCTCGACCTATTCCCCATATTAACGGGGCCATAATTATCTGCGAGACTGCGACTGCCCTACTAGAGACATGCATAGTATGATGTGCTATGTTAGTGACACTAACTACACATGAAGTTAAGCGAAGGATCGCCTCTCTCTACTAGCCTTTAAACTTTGACCTAATATTGTCTGTGTGATTTTGAACAGAATGGAAAACCCATAGATGAATACATGTGAATTGTCCAATGCATTTTATGCTTTATCAGTTATAGATGGTACGCGCTAGTATAAACGGTTGTCCGTGCTCATCAATGATCCATAGCGTTATATGTGTTGGTAGTGTTTTTCATTCATTGTTACTATACTTCTAGACTGTTTTATAATTATTTTTTAACAAGTTGTTCTTTTATTTCTCTTACATTTCAAGCAGTATGATCACTTGCGTGAATAGAAAAAAACAACTTTCCCAACGTAAAAGAAAGTATTTTTTTTGTCAAACGTAAAATTATTGATCGTTAGACAAGAACACATATGCAAATAAGGCATCTTCTTTTCGCTTATACTTATGCTTATAAGTTAAAATTTAAATTTTCAATCTTAAATTTGGAGCTGATTTTGAGGTTTTTTCATCGAAATTTATTTTTTAGCTGTTGCTTTTAGATTGATAAGAACACGTATATAAAAGTTTTATTCACGAATTATTTTCCATTTGCAAATAAGCTGTTTCGCTGGATGGCTCCGTAAATGTTGCATCACACGAACACAAGGTTAAATAGGAACCTGTCATGTCAATAAAGTTAGACCGTAAGATAGCATCTACTAATATTCATTTAACCGTTTAAGAAAATGGATTATTAGACATTTGGTACATAAAACATGTACTCTCAGCATTATCATTGCCTACTAAGGGAGCATTTATTTGCACCTTTACCATTCCATTATCCAGAGCCCACCCAAACACGAGCATGACACGCAGACCCTACACTATCGTGCACCCACATGTCAAAAATAACAAACAAGAGTGTGTCTGTGTGTGCAACATCTCCGTGACCGTACCATTTCACCCCCCGACTTTCCCCACCGAAGTGGCCCCCGGCGACGATTTCTTTCTTTTCCTTCTTTCCCCTCTCCAAATCCGATCCAGCCCGTCGCAGCCAACTCTTGCCGGTGCATATCTCCTCCGCTTTTTTCGTACTCACCATGCATGTACCTACCCTACAAGTTCCACTGACAGACCCCGCCTCTTGGTTGAAGGGCCCACCTGTCATGCAAAGGGGTAGCCTACCACGGTTGATCGGGGATTGCGGATTGGGCTTATTATGGCCGATTCGCCGAAAGTGCAACAGGGTGTGGCCCCACCGTCCGGCGCCGTCGATGTCATCCCTCCCGACGCCGAGCGGCGCCGCGAGCGCCGTCCGTTTCTGGCGGAGCCCGTAGGGCGCTGTCGCCCACCAGGGTTCCCAATTCAGCCCCAATCGTTTGTCACGTATATAAATAAAAAAACTTATATATATACGTGTTCTTAATGATCTAAAAGTAAGACTAAAAAATAAACTATGATAAAAAAAATCCAAAATTAACTTTTAAATTTAAAGTTGAAAATTTAAATTTTAAATGATAAGTATGGGCGAAAAGATGAGGCTATAGAGTTGATCGCAACAGCTGCAGCAAACCTAATATAATGTCTACTACTGTAGATACAACACGAAAAAAATTACTAATATACTTATTTTTTTCAATAATTTACGTTTATATATCTGTATTGTAAGGATTTATAAAAATATACCCATCCTACAACGGTCCCGCAGCTCTAAAAACACGGGAGCGACGGTCCCGTAAATCTAAAACGCGGGACCGTCACGGTCACACGTGACCAAAACGCGGCACCGCCATAGCAGCGATTTTTATCAATGCGTTGACACTGTTCACGCACTGTTTTATACTGTTCACACACTATCTGGCAATGTTACTATTTGGCACTGTTTGCATGCCGGTTCCGCACAATGGGTCTGCGGGACTGTAATAAACAGTGCTAAACAGTGTTTAAAACAGTACTAAACAGTGCCGATCGGATAATAAAATCGCTCTAGCCGCGGTGCCGTGTTTTGGTCGCGCGGGACCGTCGCGGTCCCGCATTTTGGATCCGTGGGACCGTCGTGGTGCAGCACTACCGTCCTGTGGGACCGTCGCGAGATAGGTATATTTTTACAATTTCTTTCCATGCATATATATAATGGTAAATTATTGAAAAAAAAAGTATATTTACAAATTTTTTCCGATACAACACAGCCACAGCCATAGCTTGCTGCAAAGCAGCACAAAAGATCAGCCCCTATATCGGATCAAAATCCACTCACAAGCTGTATCATCAGATTTCGTGGAACCTATTAACAAACCGATAAAATCCGGCAAATTTTATCAAAAGTTTAAAATTCACTATGGATTTTTGAACTTAACGGAAAAAAAAAGAGTGGTTTGTATTTTTAATCCGGTTTTCACGAAATCCAAATCGGATCTCACTCAGGCTTGGTTCGATAGATGAGTTTGAAGAAAGATTTCCGGTGCACGCGAAACAAGAAAACTCACTAGCAAATGATTAATCAAATATTAACTATTATAAATTTAAAAAATAGATTTATTTAATTTTTTTAAAAATAACTTCTATGTAGAATTTTTTTTAAAAAAAAACACACATCATTTAACAATTTAAAAAAAATATACTAATGGAAAATAAGAAAGTTAAAGTTTGGAGTCGAAGAAAACTGTGAACCTGATCGCTACCGTCGTATGGGTGCGGTGCCGCACGCCCGCACGGCGAGAGGTGGCTGGGCTGGCGAGCTATTCGAGTACTCGTATCAAACTAGACAACGGGGCGAGCTTTCGGGCAAAAGAAAAATGCGATGGAGTGCGGCCGGTTTTTTCTGTTGGCTGTAAAGCGGTTGGTTCTTTTCCGCTGGCAAAACCTTTCGTTGCGGCGCACACGGCCAGCCGGGCACCGCGCACATTCTGCCGGGCCGGGGGCCTCTCTTTTGCGGGCGGACTCCTGGTCGCGAATCATGGCGCTAGCTAGCTTCGTGCACGCACGGGCGGGCACACGGCCGCGGAAAGCGTACGTACGTGCTCGCCACTGGAGTACGACTCAAATCGATCGGATATCCCGTGCAAATGATGGTGTGGTGTGGTGTCCCGGGATCGTTCGCTCGGCGGGCACAGCAGCGAGGAGGAGAACGAGAGCTTTGGCTGCGTGCCGTGGCGGGAGGTGGAATGGACTAATGGGGGCGGGGGCGACGGCCCGGCCGAAATAGTATAGGTTTTGGATGCGAGAAACGGCCCAACAATGGCAGTGGTGTCTGGGCCTCTCTGCCTGAGGGACACACGGACGCACAGGGCACTGTCGGTGTCAATGAGCAGCCTTGCACTGCAGTGGCAATCGGCAACTTGAATTCCATCCTCCTTCTAACCCATTGGTGTGACCTCTACAACCTCCTGCTTCTTCTTTTTTTTTAACGTGTCCTGTAACTCAGACTTAGGCCCTATTTAGTTTCAAAGTTTTTTTTCAAACTTCCAACTTTTCATCACATCAAACCTTTTATACACACATAACTTTTCTATCACATCGTACCAATTTCAACCAAACTTCCAAACTTCAGTGTGAACTAAACACAGCATTACTAAAATGTGACTACAACATATAGGTATAGAAAAAAATTTTGGTTGCAAAATTGTACTAGTAAGGGCTTGTGTAGTTCGCGAACGAAAATTTTAGGCTGTGTCACATCAGATATATGGACAATCATTTGAAGTATTAAACGTAGACTAATAACGAAACGATTTTGCTTGGAAACTGCGAGATGAATCTATTAAGCCTAATTAATCCTTCATTAGCAAATGTTTACTATAACACCACATTATCAAATCATGGCGTAATTAGGTTTAAAAGATTCGTCTTGCAATTTACACGTAATTTGTGTAATTAGTTTTTTTACTATATTTAATACTCTATACATGTATCCAAACATTAAATACATGTATCCAAATATTTAATGTGACAGGTGAAAAATTTTCGTTTCGAAACTAAACAGGGCCTTAAGTCAAGAACACACCATATTTATATCGGAATGGCTATCTGTAATCACAACCTTTCCGAATTCCAATGGATGAACACGGGGCTTAATTGCTAACATATACCAGTATACTGCTGCACCTTTCATCCTCGCAATTAATTCTGCTAATTTTGTGCAGTGAATTTATTCACAGTTAGCTTAGGTGAAGCTGCACTCGGGTGGCGGCACTGGGCGCTTCTTGCTATTGTCGGTGCAGTAGTCATAGGTCAGGTTCCCCCTCACGCCATCGTACGCCGCCTGCTGCGCCGCCGTCAGCCTCCTGTACTCGCCGCCGTTCCACCACCACGTGTCCGGCGACCCGCAGTCGTCCGAGCTGACGCCGCCGCCGGCGGCGGCGGCGCAGGCGTCGACGGCGAAGCCCTGGAAGGCCGCGGTGAATGGCGCGCGGGCCCAGTCGACCTTGGTCCGGCCGCCGTCCGTCGCCCAGTCGGAGGCGTCCCACACGCTCCCCCGCGGCCGCATAGGCTTCGCCGGGAACTCGAACTCCGGGCCCCGGCTCGTCAGGTTCTTCAGCACCCTCACCGGCGTCTCGTCCACGAATATCCTGCCAAATAATTAATCAAATCGATGGCTTGTACATGTGATTTGTCTTAGCTTCTACAGAATTCAGGTGGTCATTTTGTAGGAGTTAGATTTATCCAGGTTTTAAATCTCCGTCTAGAGCTGCTTGAGAAGGGTCAACTGCTAAATGTTATAGCCCGCTATTTAAAACACTGGATTTATCCCATCGCTTATTGTATGTGCAAGTGTTTGTTGGTAGAGACGGAAGATGTAACTATTTCTACTATTTGTTTTAAAACAAAAGTGTATACGGCCGTCATGGTGACATTGAACTGAGCTTACACGAGGTGGAAGGGGTTCCAGAGGATGGAGTAGTCATGGAAGTCGGCAGCGGGGTCGAACCAGAGGCGGAGGCGCTGCTCGCGGTCGCCGTGGCCGCCGACGAAGACGTTGGTTTGAAGGGTGATGGGGTTGCCATCCTTGTCGCCAAGGAACTCGAAGTCCACCTCGTCCTGCACGTCCCAGTCTGGCTCTGACGCCAGCTACCCGTGCAATTTCAGAAATAAATTAAATTAATTGTTACATTCAGTTAATTACTGGTGCTTAGTTTTTAGTCAATATTAAAGAACATGTGATAGGAATTAACACTTATATAATTAAGTGAAGTTGATTTAGCAGTTTAGCACTCACATAGTAGGCTGTCACAACGCCGGCAGTGTAGCCGGCAGGAACCTTGATCCTCATGTGGAAGAACCCTGAGCCGTACATCAACTTGGACCTGAATCCAGCACCTGCATGCATGATAATTAATTTGCATGATCACATCAAGCTAGTTAAGCATAAAATAGAGAGAGAAAAGAAGCAAAAACTATGATCAAGCTGATCTAAATGCTGAATCTAACAGTGTCATATATATAATCTATCTGTGTGTATACCAGAGCTCTTGTCCAGGGTGAGGCTAATCTGCGTGCCCTGGTTGACCAGGTGGTAGCCGTCTCCACCATATGTTGCCACGTAGTTGTCGTCGAACACCGTCGCCACCGCCGGCGGCGGCGCCGGCGCCGGCGGCACACTATCCACGGCCAGGAGGAGGACGGCGATGGCGATGAGGTGGAGGAGGAGCAGCCATGGCGGCTGCACTTGGAAAACCATATATATACTTTAGCCAATGTTTGCTAGTACTAACTAATTAATTAACTCGATTGATTATTGCAATGGAGAAGTTCTTGTGTACGTAGCTCACCTAGCTAGCTAGCTAGCTAGCAGTCCGTTATATAGTGTTGATGTGTCTTGATGATGATCTGATCCGAGCTAGATTTGATATATAGTAGCAATGATCATCAGATGGAGATTTTTCGATCGACAGGAGGATGATGATGCATGAAACGGATTGATTTGGGAAGGTGTGAGCTGTGGAGTGTACGTTTTATCTGCCTGCCTGCCTGGCCCTGAGAGCTTCTCATGGAGTTCGAACAGAAGCCAACTTGATTAGCGTTGTGTGTACATCAGCTTACTTGATTAGCAAAAACATTGCCTTTGTTCTATCACCTGTTCCTAAGGGCAAGTGCTATGGTAGATGTGACTACCATCTCCAAATTTATCTATTTTATTCACTCATGAATTAAGATGCAACACATACAATATATCGTATTTGGTACACAAATACAAATATTTCTAATACTCTCACACTCTTCTTGAAATTTGTGTAGATGTTGCCTCTTGACTTAGGGATGGCTCATCTTCTCTCTCCTCACTTCTCTCCTCCACCTCATCACTCTATCCAATATGGTATTTTTAAGGGCAACATATGGAACATTATAGTACTTGCCCTAATGACTTCATCTTTGATAGGTCACAGGAAAGAAATTAACCGACACAAATAACTAGGTCATCTTTTACGGGCCGTGTCAAGTAGTATTCTCACCCGATACGGATGGGGCTTATTTGTAACGTGCATCTTTTAATTACCACCCTTCACCCATCACTGATGTGGTCTTTTAGAAAAAAAAATGGTTTTATCGGAATAAATTTCCACAATATATATACAAATGTTTTTCTTCACACATGTGTGTGTGTGTATATATATATATATATATATATATATATATATATATATATATATGTATATATATATATATATATATATATATATATATATATATATATATATATATATATATATATATATAGTGATCGACTGATCGTGGAACATTCCACCACTCATCATACATTGGAATAAATTTCCATACACTGAAAATTACAACTAGCATGTATTTGGTGCTAGTTCATTGGTTTCATTATTGTTATTTGGTTGTCTCCTGTGAGGACTGGCATATGTATTAAGGGCTTGAGATTTGAGAATTCGTATGCTAGTGATAGTGGTTTACGGATATAGTATTAGTCCGGCAAAGTTTAGCTAGAGTTTGGCTTGTGTCTTCAGTTCCTTGAAACACTTCCAATATTAACCAAATTATTGCACTTGATTTAGAGAAATGACAGAAATGATATGGGGAAATTGGTTGCTGACAAGATTCCAGAGAATAGGCACGGTGAAAGACACCAATTTCGTGATGTCACCAACCAAACCAAAACATTCCTTTGCAACTAATGCTAGTTCCAATGAAAGATTTTGTTCAGAATTAGGGTTTTGACCACGGCAGGATTACTAGCTGAACAAATTCCGTCCAACTACAACAAATATCGCCTGACACAAACGACAACCAATTCAATCTGAGGACTAGCCTAGTAACCAATGGCATCGACATCTCCCATTTTTAGTTTAATTTGTGTCGAACTGTCGATGAACGACACACTCTAGAATATCCCAAGTAGTAGTCTTAAACAGTGCTTTATTACATATGTTGAACAAGATCACTGACAACACGATAAATTATTGTAGTAGATTGCAAGAATCATTATATGTCACAATTGGTACTTTGCCATTTAAGAAATTAAACATACAACCACGCAACATCGATAGGAGTAAATTTGGTTTGCATATCAAATACAGAAAACTGATCAAATAAGAAGACCGGCGCATATAAAATTGTTCTCCCAAAATAATTTGCATAGCTTTAATACATAATGTAAAAAGATGTCAAACTCAGAGAGCATCGATGAAGGCAAGTGTGTCTGTGCCATCAACAATTAAACATATGATTGGCACTCGACATATCTAAGAAATATATGATGGAAAATTATATAGTAATGCAGCATGAAGCATGGTGCTTCCTAATCTTATATGCTTCCTCATTTGAGAAAGAAGCATCTGCATTAAGGAAATCATCCAAGGAATGCCCAGCAAGGGATTAGCATATTTCCATGGAATTATAACAATTAAACATGAACTCAGTCAATCCCATTCTACATGGATGATCTTGCAAATTTGGATCATAACGTGTATTCTTTGTGTGACATTCAAAGCATGCTATTGTTGTGGACAGTGTGCCCAACACCGACAGATGTGAGGTCTGCATAATTGAAGATCATCACATGTGCACATGGATATGGCATGAGTCAACAGGTTTAAAGAACACAAGACGAGCACAAAACAAAATCCTTGGGCATGAACGCGGTTATACCGGGAAGACAGGAACTCAAGTACTACAATACTCTCTCCTAGTTCTAAAACAGACAAGCTATCGTATGCACAAAGTACAATAAAGGACAACCAATGACACTTAAAAAGTAAAAAACTAGCATAAGAGCACTTACTGCTCAAAATCCAGACATGCAAAGAGTGAAGCCATTATAATATAATATATAATGTTCATCATATGGTCTATTTCAACCAATATGAATGATCAATTTGAGATCAATGCTTCCAGAAAAAATGCATATGGACAGTTCAATGACTAACCTACAGAGTTAACTAGTTTACCAAAATTTTCTATGACAAGCATAAATCATGCTCTATTGCTCTTCCCCATGTTCTTCTTTCGTTTCTTCAAGTAGTGCCAAAACAACCATGATTGTGTGGCTAATTATGCAGAAAGTATCCCTTCCAAGCAGAAGTCATGGTTTAGGCCATTTTTTCGAAGCTACTTTGCAAAAATAAACAAGAACACCTAAAAGAAAATGTCTATTTCCTTTTCGCTCATCTCATATACATGATCCCGTGCCTCAGACAGAGCAACCTGCATTGACTCAACCAGCATGAATAAAACATAACTCAAATGACACCATGAATAGCCAACTGGTACGGCAACTGACCTGTCCAAATTTAGTGAAGAAGTTGTTTGCAAGATTTAATGATGTGACTGCAAGATCTTCATTAGCTTTAAGTGCTTGTGCCAATGCAAATGCTCCATCATCCTGTTAGGAGCATAAAGGGTATTGAACATGGTGGAGATCTGCATAGACCCACCAATAGAAAATACAAAAAGAAAAAGACACTGCATTTAGTGTTTACTTACTCTAATCTCATTAAAGCCCAGGTCAAGTGAAGTCAAAGATTCATTGATGATCTTGAAACTTCGAGCCAAGCAGATAGCACCCTTCAAAAAGAGAAGGATCAGAAGGCATGGGTATGAATCAAAGCGCAAGTTATAAATAAAATTCAACGAAGATTGTGCATACATCATCTCCAAGTCCATTTGCCCTCAAATCCAATGTAGATAATGTTGTGTTGTACTTCAAACAATCAGCAACAAATTCTGCACCTGATACACCTATCTGCAAAATATGTAACCAGGCTGAAGAGGATATAACTTAAATCTGCATCCGCGATTCCATTCAGTTATGAAGATTACCTGGCACCAACCAAGTTTAAGGGTTTGGATTTTCCCATTGAACTTGAGAACATCACAAAGAGCCTTTACCCCCTCTGGCCCAATCGGATTATAGCTCAACTCCAACTACAGACAACATTCAGAATTAGTGCAAGTACAGCACTACCTTCTTGTGCAGACTAAAAAAGTCAGAATAAGATGACTTACTGTTGTCACCACTGAATTATCCTTCAGAGTTTCAGCTATTGCACTTACCCCTTTAGAGTGAATGTTATTACCACCCTGCAAATTTAAAAGGCTTAAGACCTAGAGCATGTGTATACCTGTTTACAAGAATATTTGGAATGCTGGGACATCTAAAGAATACAGTTCCTTTTTTCCCTCCAAAGTTCCTCTATTCTGAATAAGGTTTGTTGTATAGGTTCTACACTCACTTTACAACATTAGAAAAGCAACCCTGAAGGTTATGGGGAATTCAATAGTCCATGGATTAAGAGATACTAGCATGGCAGTCCCGCACGTTGCAACTGATCCGAATAAGTATTATAATATCTAATATTACAATGAAGACAATAATTAACATCAAATCTAGAAAATTTATAGTTTACTACATGGAGACGATCAATCACATAAATATACAGATGTGCAAATAATGCAGTTTCTTTAAGAGAATCATGCAAACAACCATATACTTGTCTACATATATCTAGCCACAAAAGATTTATTGAAGTAGGACTGGGTCAGTGGGTGAACTGTAGACGGTAGAACACACAATCAACTGAACTACTCTTTATAAAAGAACAAAGATATAAAGAGGAGAAACCTGAAACTTTGTTCTGAGATTATATGGTGATATTATAATAATAATTTACAAAACAGAGGGTAGTATATGAAACTCTTGGGTGTTATTAATAGTCAAATAGGTGCTTACCAAGTCTACAGTAGAAATTGTTTTATTCTGTTTCAGAGCATCTGCAACCTTTTCAGCTCCCTGGTGACATTCATATTAATTTATGTTACAAAACCAAACAAAATCACCTTCCTTCTCTAAAAATGCCAAACAAAGTAAACATAATTACATAAATGTGTACCCATTTGATACGTTGGATCACATGTGAAAAACCATGTATATGAATTAAGAAAACAAGTAAATCTCCCGCTCTTTGATGTACTATGGAGTTAAAGAGTGATGGGGGTAGCATCGAATTATAAAGTATAAAATAAGAACTGGAGCATCATGTATATGTCAATTTTACAAGAAACAGGATTTAGGCAAGAAGTTTAAACCTAAGTAACTAACAGCCTAAGTTCTAAAGCAGTACTCTATTTAGCTCATAGTTCCATAATAGCAGAAATTATATATTGGTTTGGCATAAGCATCATTAAATGCTTAATAAAATCTTGCGGGTGTTTGATAAGCAAATTTCTCTAGCTTGATCATGTCCTATTATATGTAGCAATCAGAAAATTTCAGTCACTGGCATAAAACAGAACAGGT